GGAAGTTTTTAGCAGTTGGATAGAAAAATAACTCCCTTTTTGAAAAACAAAGAAATTGAATCTTCCCAAAAATCCTGTTCTAATGGCGCATAAAAAAGGGAGATTTTAAAGGGCATTAGGTCCAAGCATGTGTACTAAAATAGCAAGTACTTTACTTTCCACCCCTTCGATAGCTCCTGGCCATGTTGATGCATGACATGTGGTGGAACAGTTGGCTGATGCATTTAATACTGGCCTTAATTTCCCTTTTTGCCACTCTCCTTGTTCCTTAGCAAACCTTTTCAGTTTTCCCCTTTCCTTTCTTTTTCTGCTAAACTGACGAACCCTTCTCTTTCTCCTATACGTCTCTAGTTTTCATCATATCCTTCATAAAAGCTTCTGGATTTCTTCATGAAGTGGCCGAATTTCCCCACGGAGGTTGAACTAGTGTGCAATTTTGACAAGATCCTCTTCCTAACAAGGTAATGATGAATCTCTGTTTCTCTGCTTCACCTTTTTTTTTTTTTTTTGCATGTCGTAGATTCTTTATGCCTTTATTGATCTGAAATCTTGTTTCCCATCCTTTTCTTCTCTTCGATGAAAGCCCTAAGAGATGGCTGATCCTTATCCAACCAACGGAGTGCAGTCGTACCATGACTTGTGGTACAACTTCCAAGACAGTTTCATGGAGTTTAATGCTTGGTCAGCAAGATGAGAGTCCAAGAAACAGAAAGATTTAGTCTTGCTTGAGGCTTTCAAAGGAGGTGATGTTGGTTTGGCATGGTTCCCTTCACCACACGATGAGTGCGCGAGGCTTGAAAGGTAAGATTTGATGCCGGTGCCGATTCATTTTGCCTTCTCATCTGACAAGACGAAAGATTGGTCTGGCTGGGCTAAGGAGATACTCATTGATAATGGTATTGTGGAGATATTGCATGCTGCCGAGGTCTTTAAGCTAGTCGCTTTGAGCCAAACCTTGCAAATCAATGGCAATGTGGAATGCCTCCGTTGCTTGGTACGAAGATGGTGCACGAGCACTCACACTTTCATCCTTGCTTTTGGAGAAGTCACTATGACTTTGGAAGATGTGGCAAACCTGATGTTATTGCCTATTATTGGAGAAGAAGATCCATGGCACATGGCACATAGCACATAGCACTAACATCGGAATAGCGCACTAACATCGCAATAGTGCACTATGCTGATATATCTGAAGAAGGTGATGAGGACGATCGCCAATGCTTCTTCTCGTTCATGGAGAGGGGAATACAACATTGATTTTCCAACTTGGATGCGGTATTTTTGGACTGGCGAAGGTGAAAATACTGCATATGTGCGCGTGGCTTTCCTCACAACCTGGCTGAGCAAGTTTGTTTTTGGGGGCTTCCCGAATCATGTGATCATGGCTGAGTGCATTCCTCTAGCAATAAGGTTGGCTGAAGGTGTGAGGTTCCCCTTGGCTCCATTGATGTTAGGTATGCTCTATCACATGCTTGATTTGTTACATTCTGATGAGATTCTTGGCATTGGCTACTACATCATCGAGTCACATGTGTGTCTATCTTTGTTACAAATGTTTGCATGGGAGAGATTTCGCCCATACTACCCTGGCCGTGTTACCAGTGGGAAAGCATTGAAGGAATATCCCATGGCGAAGTGAGGTTACACTAGTGGAACAACTTTGCTAGCTTGCTCTTGGATAGGAAAGAGAAAAATAAAGAGGCAGATCGTCCCAAATGTAGATGGTTTTCTTGATGACTATGGCAACTTCAATTTCCATGCATACAAGGTGATGCTTGGGACATTCACTCCACCCGAAGTGAGTCTTTTTGACAAAGCACTCCCAGTAGTCTCAGGAATCAGATTGTGAACTTTATTGCCAAGGACTTCGGTCATCTAGAAGTGTTGGCAGTAGTTACGCCATCCATGCTGCCGTGTATTACATGGTAGGGGGTGTGGAGCTTGGAGTGTTATTTCCCAAAAAGGGTAGCAAGGTAGTTTGGTTATGATCACGATATTCCTTCGGCTCCTTCTTCAGACAAAACAAATTGGAATAAGTCCATGCGGCCTTACATTAATGAGGCTGCTTCCAACATGTGGAGCGAAGGTGTTGCCACGTTGAGGTTCTTCAGCACTACCAAAATGTCGACCATGTCACCGTTGATGTTGGAATATTGGGCTACACTACTGAAGAGGTTTGAAGCTTTTATTCAATCACTACCGAAGTGGTGGAGTATGATTTTGCTTCCCGAGACCGTGATCGTCTTTTCACCCACAATAACTCTTTCCTGAGTTACTGCCACAAGCATTCTTGGGGGTTTTTTATGAGGGAAGACGATGGACAGTGGGTACCCATTTGTCTTCCCATACTTGGCTTGGTAGAAGAGGAGTATAGTGCTACTAAAAGAGAACCCAGACAAGAAGCAACTGACGATGCTGGAATTAGAGGTAAATAAATGCTCTCATATTTCCTTCTTTTCCTACCTTAAGCTTCGGTTCTTCTTTCATCTAGGAGCTTGGTTGGATCGAATCAGTGCTACAGAAATATTTTTGTACTGTTCTTATGACAATTGCAAAAGAAGCTGATGAAGCTGCTCCTTTAAGAAAGTCAGCAATGGGTAAGAGAAAAAGCATTGCTCAACCACCCAAAAGTAAGGCACGTAGAACTTCTGCTTCGCTAGCCAACAAGCAAAGCAAGGCCAAAGCACCCACACCTTCCAAGACAAGAACTACCAAGGGCAGAGGGGCAGTTGATGGCAGTGATAGTGATGAGAGCTCCTAGGGTGATCCAGATCTCGAGGTGATTGAACGGATTAAGAAATTACAGCCCATTCATGGTGGTAAGCGCATGGGTGAGAAGTATTATGATTTGAGCGCTTCGCTCCAAGTAAGTGCACTTCCAAGTCTTTTTTTTTTTTTTTACGGCTCCTTTAATCATTGTTGACTTCACTAAGGATCCTTTGATATGTGGCTTAATGTCTGCACGGGCAATCGGTAGCTTCTAGTGAGGGTTTTGGTCCAGTTTCTATTCCTGGGGATGACGAAATCCCCTCCAAATCTAAAGAGGCCAAAAGGGTAGAAACTTTGGCAGTGAACATGGAGGAGACTTTGGCTAATCCCGACGTTCGCCAAAAAATTTTGGTTAGGGAAATAGGTGAGCCTCCACTCCCTGGCGAGATACTTAATTTTGTCGACTCTATCATTGATTGGAGTGATCCTACATCCTTCACAATCGAGTCGATGAAGAAGGCTAAAGCTAATGAAGTTTCGCTGCAAAAACCCTTTACTATAAGTTATCTGCAAGCTCGTCTCTCATTTTTCGAAATCAGAATTCTTCTTTTTAGAAAAATCGTTAAAGCATGCTTATCATTTCATTGCAGACCAAGGGAGGTGTGAGGGTGTCATATGGCACCTCAAGCATGACGAAGAAGCCTGGAGCAACGAAGACTCAACTTGAAACATCAATATCGAAGGTATGCAATTCCACACCTTTACACCAGTTAAAGAAAATACTTTAGACGATTGTTGAATTTGGGCCATCGACTTAGTTGATTTCTCTTCCAGCCACATCCCATCAGCGAGCTACCTCCTTTTCGAGCTGGTGACTTTGAATTAGTCCCCAAGGGGTTCATATCGAAGAGGAAAATTGACGCTGCCACTGATGTGAAAGGAACTTGAAATCATTAAGTAAGGTAGTTTGGGTTTAAATACTCTGCTTGGTCAAAAGTGATGTTTCTCCACTGATCAACCATGTCCTCCTTCATTTTACTAGGTGTTGAGAAAGGGAAGGTCACCGAGGTGATCAGTTTTGACTCTAGCGATGATAGCAGTGAAGGATCAAGTACTAGCGATGCCTCGTCTGGGAGTAGGAATGGTTCCAAATAGAAGGGTAAAGGTGCAGGCCTCCAAGGTAGTATTGACATGAACAAGGCTACCCCCGAAGAATTTGAATCATATGTGGGCAATGCTGCAAAGAAACCTAATTTCCGATAAAGGCAAGGTGGTTGCTAACAAGCCATCCGGGAGCTTAGAGAAGAAAATTACTAATACTATTGAGATGAAGTGTAGTGACCAGCCATCTCCAACTCCTGCTAAGCCAAGTGGGGCTGTTGACCGACTATCTCCATCTCCTATTAAGTCGAGTGAAGCCAATGACTTTGCTGTGAGGCTACTCAAGAATCTGGAAGAGATGAACGAGGATAGAGATATGTCATTGGCTCAGTTTGGCTTAGCTGTTAATGTGACACCTCTTATTTAACTAACGGAAGGATCGTTTTGGTACTGAAAATGAAAGTTTAAGGATAAATTTGGTACTTTTTAAAGTTAAGGGACTATTTTAGTGCCAAAGTGAAAAGTTGAGGGACCAAAATGGTATTTAAACCTAATAATTATAACTAAAAATATGCAAGTTTTTCAAGTTAATTTTTCAGTCTTATTAAATTTACAAGTTA